TTGTGGTTCTGGTCGTCCATCATCGCCTCGTAGATGAGCGCTTCCTCCTCTTCCATGCTTTCCTCCATCCTGCTGGCCCCCGGCACCCGCCCGCCTCACAGGCACCTGCCGCCTGTCTCAACCCCGGGCCAGGGGGCAACGCGGCTGGCTCGAGCTCACATTGCCGGGGACCTGGACGGGCGCTGCGAGAAGGGCAGCGGCGCGCCTGACCTCTTACTCTCAGCCAGGCCGACTCTCCTGGAGACCAGGCTGGTGGCGGTGGGCGATCCGGAGATAGCCTCCTGGGAGAGGCAGCCGTAAAGCAGTAACGCCGCTCACGGCATTTTACAGCAGTTTCCAACAGGAGGTTGGAAAGGGCGCAGGGGGCGCGGCCCGGAGGGCACGCGGTGCAAGGAAAGAACTGGAGAAAGCGAAGCGAAAAGGGGCGGGAGCTGTGAGTCACCCCCACGCAATAGAACGGAGGTCTGCCGGGCCTCGGGTCTCCCAGTACCGAGAGGGGTGGGGCGACACAGCCCGAGGAACACTCATCGGCCCCGCCCCCGGATCGGCCTCGGGGGATAAGGAAGTTTGATGTGCGCTTGCGCATGTGCAACCTGGTTACCAGGACGACGAGGAGGGGAGCGGTTCCAGAATCAGCCTACAAATCCCGGCTGGCTATAGCACTACGCAACCAGTTGGTCGCGTTTTTCTCGTTTGATGTGTTTCTGGGCTCCGTCTCTCCGGCCTTTGCGTGGGGACCGAGATGTGGGGCCACAGGAGGCCTCGGCGTGCAGATTATAGATGGGTCGTCAGAAGGCCCTGTGTGGATTGCTCGCAGACCCCTTCCTCAACCCTGTGACCCAAAATCGAGAATATAAACCGAATCATAACAGGATGGAGATGTGTACCCTAATGGCGGTTGAGATACTCCTGGGTCGCCTCACCCCACCCGCTTACTGGGGTTTAAACTTGGGGTTTCTACTGTGCTAGGCTAATGCTCTTACCACTTTGCTACTCTTCTGCTTTCATGAATGTTTTGAAGGTTCTTTATTCGTCTGTACACTGAGGCCAGAAATCCTTTTTAATGCCAAGCTTCCTGCACTGCTTGGAAAATCTGACTACAAATTGAAGGTGTGTGTCTCGCGAGTCAAAAAAGCAAAGTATAATTTTTCCTCAATAAATTTGCATTCTCAAATTATAGTAATAGCAGTGATACAGGGTGTGATATGATACGTGGACCTCCGAATAATCCAAATAATGTAAGGGAAATATAACTCCCAACCTGCTTGATGTCCAAAATGCCAAGTTCGTCTTCTCAAAAATCAAAGAATGAATTCTAGGAACGGAGGTTAAAAGTAAGAAGAATTTATTGAGAGAAAGACAGCTTAAGTCTGAGACCAAAGGTTGCCCCGCCCACCCTGCTTCTCAAAGGTGTTTTATCTGAGCAAAGCCACAAGGTGAGGCAAGTTCAAGGTGGGACAAAACTACAGTCAACTGATAAGATTACAAGTAGAGTCCCTTAATACTGCTCCAGTGAGAAATGACAAGGTGGGATGAAACTGTGATCAATAAGATTACAAGTATAGTCACTTCGGTTATATTGATTAAACAGGGATCAAATTGGAAAGCTAGTCTTATAGCAAGCATGGCATGAACAAGGGTTTCCCGGAAGGAATGGGCTAGCTAGGGAGGTTTTGGTCCCCAGTTAAGGTGACTGATGCCTATTTAGAATATCACGCGCTGCTGTTCCTTGCTAGGGGAAGTAATATGTGTAGTAGTTCTTCCGTTTTGAATCCTGAACTTTTAGTAAATGTACCTCAGTTGTTTTCTGTGCTGAGGGCCTGGCCTTGCCTGACTGCTTTATAAGATTTTCTCACTTAGCTATCTACATTAGTAGTATATGAGAAATATAATTTTTTTCGGACATCATCTTAGCTAATGTGATAAAGAAGTTGTCTAAAACAACCTTCAATTGCATTTAAGTTAGTAAATAATAAATCTTTATCTCAAAAGGTATTAGGGTGCAGTAAGAAATTGTTACCTTGGATGTACTTCAGTATCCACATTTTCTTGAGTTTCTCTACAAATATTTTCCCATTTTTTTTCTGCATTATATTTAATAGAACATGTTTACCAACAACTTGGAATGATTTAATTTTGGACACTGCTGCCTCATATTAATCAGTGACTTTTAAATGAGCACATTTTTTAATTCTCCAACCTTGGGACATTTAGGAATACAAAAAAAAATTTTTTTCAGTGACAGAATTTTTTTTCAGACAAACAACTGATAGTTTGTCATAGATTCATAGATGATGAGTGTGTCTAGAGATAGAGTTTGGTGCATAATAAAAGATCCAGCCAGGGATTTAGCTCAGTGGTTCCGCTGCCTGCCTTGCAAGCTGAAGGACCCAAGTTCAATCCCCAGTACAAAAAAAAAAAAAAAAAAATCAATGTATCTCCAGTAGCATGGCCACAAAATACATGAAGCAAAAACTTGATAGAAATAAAAAATAGATCTCCATTAGAGTAGATGATTGTATCTATCTTGAGAGATTGAAGTGAGATGGGTGTACCTCCCTATAAAAGATAGTTCCATATCCTAATCTCTGATGCTTGTGAATATTTGGAGAAAGAATCTTTGCAGATATAACTGAAAGGTCCCTGTTACCCAAGTAGACTGTAGATCCATTGACAAGTACCCTTCTAAGAGAAAGGCAAAGAGAGATTTGAGACCTATACAAGACACAGAAAAGAAGGAGGAGGTAATGTGACCACAAATGCAGAAATTGGAGTAATGTGGCAGTTAAGAAACATAGCCATACAATCCTGGAAGAAGCAAAGATAGAACTCTCTAGCACCTCCAGAGGTAATGTGACCCTGACAACACATTCATTTCAGGGTTCTAGCTTCCAGAACTATAAGAGAATAAATACATTTCTGTTGTTTTAAGCCACCCGCTTGTGGTAATTTATTACAGTAGCTATAGAAAACTAATACATAGATAAGGTGTTATGGTTTGAATTTTGACACGACTCCCATAAAATAGGTACTAAAAGCCTCGGTTGCCAGTTGATGGACTCTCGGGGAAGTCATGAGAGTTCTAACTTCACCAGCAGATTAATCCACTGATAAGATCATAATTTGATGGCATTGTTGGGGGTTGATGAATACAGAAGGGGGCATGACCTTGGGAACTATATATGGACCCTGGTTCATCTTTCTTTCCCTTTCTATGTTTTCTGGCTCCCATGAGGCAAGCAGCTGTCCCCCAACGCACCCTTCTGCTGTGGTTTTCCCACTTTATTTGTAGCAGTGGAGCAAACCATGGACTGAAAACTGCAACCCTAGACCAAAATAAAACTTTCTTTTAAATTTTTCTTCTCAGATATTTAATAAGCAAAAGCCGATTATTACAGAGAAGACACACACACATACACACACACACACACACACAAAACTTTAAGGTACTAAAAGAGTTAAAAACACAACTTACCAAATTTGAATTAGTAGAGATGTATAGAAGCTTGCCTCAAAAACTGCAGAATACACCTCCCTCCCATAAATACATAAAACATTTTCACAAAATGAACATCCTAGACCCTAAAACAAGTCTCTCTAGGTATCTAAGGATTTTGTTGTTAGAGCAACCACATTATTTGATCATACAGTTAACTGATCATACAGTTAAGTTAGAAATCAATTACTAAAAGATAACCAGTGAGCTCTCATATTTCTATTCTTCCAACCAACTCATGGGTCAGAAAATCATGACGAAAATTAGAAAACTTGCTATGGTGGCTTTTCCTCACAATAGCCTGCCCTGTGTCCTCCAGAGTATATATTTTTTTGTTTTTCTTTTTGTTTTGTTTTTTGGTACCAGGAATTGAACTCAGGACCTCGCGCTTTCAAGAAAGGCAGCAGCACCACTGAGCTAAATCCCTGGCCCTCCAGGGTGTACTTTTATCTTGCTTTTTCCTCTTTTACTCAGCCCACGCTGGCTCTGCAGAGCCAGTTTCTCCTTCACTCTTCACTTTTACTCTTTCAAAGAAACTTTGTCACTGTCTAAAAAAGAAGGAAAATTCAAATACATTTTAGAATGAAAGGATTGGCACAATCATAGCAATATAACTTCCATCCTAATAAGGCCATACTTGAAGAGTTTTTACCCAGCACACTGGTGAATTTAGAACCCTTCATGTGCATACTGTCAAAATGATCAAGATAAGATATTTGTTTTTGTTTTAATTGGTTAAACATAACTATTGCAAAATCTCACAGTATCTGTACAACAGTAGTCATTGATAGGGTACAACGTCATAAATGCCACCTACTGGAGGGAAGCCACTTGAACCTGTTGATAACTGGTTGACTCCGTGGACATTATAACATTTTCATATTATACTTTTAAAATGTTATATTTTAATAGTTATAAAATATTTGATGATTTGTTCTGAGGTATGAAAATAGAGTATAATATTATTAGTAGCACCGACCCAACACTGGACACAGGTTAATCACTATAGTCTTCCATAATCCCAGATATTGATCTATTTGTTTAGTTTTTTGTTTGTTTTTTGTTTTATTTTCTATGGGGCTGTGAGTTTCATTATAGCAGGACAAATATACAGTGGTACCTCAGTTCACAAACTCAATTTCCTTCACGATGCTGGCTGCAAACTAAACTGGATG